GATTCCCGGAATTTAGGCTTACCGTGAGCGCCTGGTGGGGGAAGAGAAATACAGTCCCATTCTCAGAATCGGCTGCCCCTACAGCCCCGTGAGTGCGACTATAACGAGAGTCTACTGTACCTCGATCCTGACGCACCCCGATGATCGGACATTCGTCGCCATGTAACTCGGCCATTCATCGCTATATAACTCGGCCGTCCATCGCTATGTGACTCGGCCACGTGAATGACCAATATTCAGCCAATAATACACACCAACATTGGGCGTACATCGGCGGATATGATGGCCCGAGATAACAGTCCATTGCTCGGTTGAATATCGGCCGAATATCGAAGCCGATTGTCGGTAAGTCGGCACCGATCTGGATCCGATGTTCAGCCATTTTGTATCACCCTGCATGGGTCGCCCAAAATGAAGTTTCAAGTTTTTAATTTGATTAGTTTATTTATAATCGCTGTGAGAAGCTGAAAAACCCCCCGATTTTCAGGGTCCATAAAAGTCGGCACACTTTGAACCGCTACCATACGTACGAAAAAATTTTTTTTTAAATCGTCAGATTTTCCAGAGATTCGTTGAATCCTTGGGAATCCAAGGAGGGAAGACAAAACTGAATATTGTAATAATTATTTATTTAATTAATAGAAATGTCGACTGCGGCTATCTCGTTGTAGAATTGCCGAACCGACCTCAAAAAAAGGTGCATTCTGAATTCAATGTAAAACACATTCGGTCAATTTTTTTTCTAATAAACAATCTCCGTTGATTTGAAAAAAAAATCGAGAAAATTCGTCAAAACAAAAGCTGTTAAAACGATCATAAATTGTTATGGGGTTTATGGACCCGCTCACTGTCGATCTCTCGAAATTGAAAATACATGTGCACCTGTCTACCTCTTTCAGGGACGTCGATACCAGTTACCATCGTTTAGGCCCTTTGGAGCGCAAATACACTGTACATTGCTTGCCCCCAGAGGGCCCAAACGACGGTAACTTGTATCGACGTCCCTGAAAGAGGTAGACAGGCGCACGTGTTTTCAATTTTCAGGGACCGACGGTGAGCGGACCCATAAACCCCATAACGAGTTATGATTGTTTTAACACCACTTTTTTTTGACAAATTTTCTCGATTTTTTTTAAATCAACGGAGGTTGTTTATTAGAAAAATATTGACCGAATGTATTTTATATTGAATTCAGAATGCATCGTTTTTTTTCAGGTCGGTTCGACAATTCGACGACATAATCGCAGTCGACATTTTTATTAATTAAATAAATAAAAATTATAATAATGAGTTTTTTCTTCTCTCGTTGGCTTCCCAAGGGTTCAACGAATCTCCGGAAAAATTGACGATTTAAAAACTTTTTTTTTCATACGTATGGTAGCGGTTCAAAGTTTGCCGACTTTTACGGACCCTGAAAATCGGGGGGTTTTTCGGCTTCTCACAGCGACTATAAATAAACTAATCAAATTAAAAACTTGAAACTTCGTATTGGGTGAGTGAAATACTTATATTACACAGTGCAATTGGTCCCATATTTATACGATTTTTTTTTCTCAAGTTATGCGCATATAACTCCAGGGTCCTCTACTTCTGAAACGGATAGTAGTGTGCTCATTGAGTCAGTGTGACTGATGAACACACTAGAATCCCTACAATATCGGCTGGCTGCATGACTGAGGTCTTCCGTGGTTTCCCTCAGTCCAGGCCAAATGGGTGGAGTTGGGGAAGTCGGCCCATGGTAACGCAGAGGGGGGAATACGAGAGGTAAAAAGAGAGGAGGGAGAGGCAGGGTGCAGGTGTCAGATCGAGAATTGTACTTTGATAACACTAAAGTAATGAAATAATTTATTTTTTAAAATTATTATAAAAGAAGAAAAAGTAATAACCCGGTTATGTGGCACATTAGTTGAAGTTGAAAAAATATTCATACCAATTCATCAAAAATTTCCAACCAAAAATATGCTAATAGGCAAGACCTTCACAAACTTATTTTTTTGTGTCAACCCGAGTGGAAATTCGGAAATTAGGTTAGACCTGACCACTGATCAGGTATTGATCAAGTTGACGGATCCGGGCCTGATCAGACATGTTACGCCTCCGACCAATCCAGATTTGATCAGGACGAATGGATCCGAACTTGATCAAGTCAACTGTATGAAAACCGGATGACTTGTCTGTCAGTATCAATAATAATTATCAATGATAATTAATTCAAAACAAAAATAATTCAATTCTTTCACCGTAGGCCGCCTCTCTTAATGAATCTCTACTGTTATTACCTCTGAAAAAGCTTATTATTTTTTTACCGATGCTGGGGATCGAACCGGGGACCCTATGGTTGCTAATCCTATGCCCTAACCACTACGCTATCGCGATATTACTATTGAGTAAACTGTATATTGCCTATATGATTTGTATCATTGAATTTACGATTATTCCTGATCTCGCAGATGTGCGTTTGTATTCTCAGAGATAAAATATGTTCAATTAAATTTTTATTTATTTCATTGATGAATAATAATAATGGTAATAACAATAACTCTATAAACAAATAAATAAATAGACATTTAGTGATTTTTTTTCTTAAGATCATTTGCGTGTAAGTTTGATACTCCTCTAATACGTATTTACGGCATCATCATCCCTCCCTTCTGTACATTTGAAAAGGGCTGGCTGTTAATTAAATAGATTAATTAAAATGAATTCATTAAATTAAATTAATTCAATTTAATTTATTTTAATTACAGTACAATGGTCCTTTTTGAAGATTGAAAATAATTATTGATAATGGTTGATAAAACTTAATTTGAATAGTATAATAATAGTTAATTAAATTATCCGAAAAACTTATTAAAATTAATGTCAGGTGGAGCGGATCTGAATCTGATCATTTTCTCTTCAATTGACCTCTTTCAAATGCCGATCAAGGACATCAAATCCGAATTTGATCAAATTGGGGTCAGGCAGCCGACCTCAGTGTGAGATCGTGCCTACCTGATCAGAACTTGATCTGAACCCGCCTGTAGTTTTTCGGATCCGATGTGCTGGATCAGAACTTAATCAGGTTCTCATCAGGCATCATCTGATCATGTCTACCTGATCAGAACTTGATCTGAACCCGCCTGTAGTTGTTCGGATTCGATCTGCTGGATCAAAACTTGGTCAGGTTGTCATCAGGCATCATCTGATCATGTCTACCTGATCAGAACTTGATCTGAATCCGCCTGTAGTTTTTCGGATCCGATCTGCTGGATCAGAACTTGGTCAGGTTCTCATCAGGGATCACCGGATCAGTCGAACCTTACAAAAACCGGATCAAGTTCTGATCATGCTTCAGGTGGGCCTGAAGCAATTTCCACTCGGGAATGTGCAAATACATGCAAATTTCCCTCTAAGGGTTGAGGAATTCCGTCTTAAGATCGCACTGATCATCGAAGAATCGAAAATAAATTACATAGATTGGTAATTGCCATAAGTGGATCTTGTACCAAAAACTATTTTTATTATACATTATTTCTCCGTGTCTATTGTAGTAATCATGTGGACCTTTCGGGAATTTAATGAGTCCAGTAAAAATTAAAAGGGTTTCGTGGAACTTTTATTCAAAGTTGGAGAAATATAAATTTCCATAACAATCACTATTTATTTACTAATGTAAGAAATGCCTCCGTGAGAAACTTACACCGTGGCAATGGAATTAAGGCTGTTCCAGAATGGAATATCGGGACTGGGTGACCCAGAGTAAAATCAAGTTTGCTTCCATCCCGAGTCGAAAAATTTAGTCTCAGACTAACTCAGTGACTTAGTCGGTTTTTGTTCTGGTTTTTAGATAGGTTTTTGGTCTGGATATGCGAGTTTTAGACCAAAAACCGACCTTGTTTGAAGGTTTCCTCCTCGAGTTAGTCGGTTTTTGGTCTGGTTAGATAGATGATTTCGTCGGTTTTTGGTCTAAAAACGAAGAGAGTGGGGGAAAATTTGCATAAAAATTACATACGAAATTTGCATAAATAACGAACCGTAAATGTTGGGTAAAAAATCTGCAGAAATATTACTATGTATTGAGCATCCAATGGGAGGAAGGATAAAAATAACGATTCCGTAGGTAATTAATCCGTTATTATTTTTTATTAAAAATGCTCCAACAAGTGAAGTATTCTTGATTACGAAAGGAACATGGAATTAGAATTATGTGTGAACTATATAAAAATAAAATAATACCTTGAAAAACACGTAAAAACACGTAAGTTATTGACGAGAACTATCAAGAATTAAGAACTATCAAGAATTAATCATGACTGACTGAAGAATATCGTTTTTTCTACAGTGGCAACAAGAATGGAGGAATTTCCGATTCATATCCCTCATGCGTTATTGGATAAAAGTTGTTGTTATTAGTCCATTGTCCTCTATTATGATGATGCCAAGGTTGTTGAAAATTCTCAGCAACTGATTGATTCTGATGTAGCGGTGTAAATAGTGGAGTGCGTTGCTGCTGGTAGGGATTATTGTTGTTGTCATGTCCTCTGAATCCGGTCGAAAGCATTGAATTATGGATTGGAGACATTGAATTTCGGTCAATCTGTTCTGATGAATATGGTACAGAATGATCATTCGATGGGCTACTGCTGCTGCATCCAGAATCGTTAGAAACTGAAGGAGGGGGTTCAGATGGTACCGTCTCAGATGTCTGGCTGTTTTGAAGAGGTTCACTGGCTCCTCGATTTTCTTTTTCACCTCCAGCATTCGAGGGAGTTTGTGTTGTCTTCAGGAACTGTACTGATCTTTTATTGGAGGTTCGACTCTTCCTTATTAATATGCCCTTGTTCTCTTTACTCCTGCTCTGTTGGCTCTTGTTTCTGTCTCTCCGATTGGTACAAATTTTATTTACGTGTTGACTGTAGTCTTTATCAGTAACCTTGATTGGATGATCTGGGGTTCCTTACGCATAGACGAATTCTGAAATGTCAATGGATTATGCCATGAGAATAAAATACACAACTCCACAGACAACCGAGTTTTAGAAAAAGTACGGAAAAGATCACGAAAAAATTACGTTTCCTAATTTTGCATTCTTCCCCTGTATTCTTTCCCTATTTTTACTAGAAAAAAACCCCAAAATAAGAATTTCTCTCACTTTCATGTTTTCTTATGTAACTCTTCCGGGGGTTCTTTTATTATTATTATCGACGGATTCTCTAAGTTCTTTTCCATGTTTCATCAATTAAACCATTAATCCTCCTGATGATTCCACGAAAAACTGATCAATTGAATTATGATATGAATCAATGTTTGACAAATTTCCTTACCCTTGACAGCCTTGTAAATTTTGGTATGCATCTTGATTTTGCCTTTCGTTCCTTTCACTGACATAAGCCTCAACGTATCTCCATAAATTTCAACAAAAACATTAGTTGCCAGTTGCTTCCAATTGTGAGTATCATTAAAGTCATCCATTGCTTCTGTCATTGCACGTCTATGGATGAAAACTTCGGTCCCAGGATGGATTTCCATCTGTAATATTCGCCACATGTAAATATTCCATCGAGTAATTAGGAGGGTATTGAAACAAAGATATTATCCAATAATTTACCTTATTCATAGAAGGCGTGCGCGCTTCGTCGTACAACTATAAAAAGAAAGATCATTATTATCATAATATCATATGATGGAATTCGTCCAAAATCATGTACCTTTTTTATTCGTTGAAAAGCTTTATAATGTCCCTCGTTTGCCATAATTTCCAAAGTCTGGGTAAAGTCTCGGAAATAGGAAATGATTTCCGGAGAAGCTAAAAAAATTATAACCAATCAAGTAAGCAACGTAGCACGGATAAAAGAATTCAAATTGATTGAAAAATCGATAGCATACAGAAGAAGCGATTAAGGAATTTGTTGACAAGAACTTTTCATCATAAAAAATATAAATAGAAAAATCATCTAGAAAATTCGAAATGAATATAATTTTTCTCATCTAATATTTATGGAAAAATCACAGGTCAAAATCGTATGATTTCAAATTGAAATTTGCGCAAGAACCTCAAATGATTTTATGCTCCTAGAAAACCGAAAACCACATTCTAACCGAACAAAGTGCAGTTAGAAGTCGCGGTTTGTCGGTCCTTCGGACATCAAGTATCGTATGTCACACGGCGATAAAGGTATTTACCGACTCATGTGATTATAATTCTCGCCTTCGGCTCGGATTATAAAGCCACATTCCTCAGAAAATACTTTCATCATCTGATAACATAATGTACATTTCAATATAATCCCTGAATCATAAATATTGTTTTGAAATGTTATATCGCATTCAACAGATATAAACTAACAAATTGATGAGGAGGTACTAATACTTACGAGGACCTCGCCTGGATAAATTGAATGATTCAAAAAAAGGGTTCCGACAATGAACGTCACACCCCTTACGACATTGCCCCTCATCGTCGGAAAGTCCTTCATCTGAATCCTCGTCATCCTCGGACTCTGAATCTTCATGATGGTTCTATCTCCGATTCTCAATTATTGGAGCTCTCACTGGTGTCATCGTCGACGACGTGGGCAGAATTTCCTCAAATTCTTTTCCTCCTCGTCGTTTCTTTTCTAACATGGTAGATTCCTCATCGTCAGTATCTATTGCATGAGAAGTGCGAGGACTAGAACCTCCTGCATTCATTGGTAAAACATCGAAAATTGATGCCCGTTGACTGAGTTTACGTTGATGCATGTAATCGGTATTAGCTCGCCGCTTCTTCTGTTCCCTTGCAGCTCCTTGTAATTGTTTACGTCGTTGCAGAATGTCCTCTGTGAAACCTTTTTGCTGAGGGTCCATCACGTTCCCATTCTCTTTATCGACCATCAGATTATTCAAAACTGTTGGGTCATCTGCAAAAATTAACAATAATGCGTTATTGAGAGCGTCATAATATTTATACTCCCCCAATTTCATTCATTATTCTCTTTTTCAATGTTTACTTCAAGAGGAAAATATCCCATAGTACACGCTTGGAAATTTTTGGCTGGATTACCGGTAGGCTTTTTGAATATTGAAAAACCAAAATTTTTTTAGTTCTAATTAAAATTCAAGAAATTTTGTAATGGAAAATTCATAATTTAGTTGAAAAAAATATTACAATTGTAAATTCTAGTTCCATCATTTCTTTACAATTAACAGAAAAAAAGGATAGTTCCAATGAATATATTCTTGAATTTTAAATTATTTGAAAATCCAATGTAATTTAAATGTTCTGACCCTCGATTCCCGCCGGCTTCTTAACAATAAAGATGGTTAGTATGGAAAACAATTGTGGAAATAACCCCCTCCCCCCTTTCGCCCAGTCGGACGGCATAGTCCGCAAACTGAAAAAAAGGGACATTTCGAGGAGCCTCTTGAGTTTTATTACGCTGTAGGTAGAAAAAGTGGGAAAATTTGGCCATCTAGAAGGACGGCGAGCTCGACTTTTCTCCCCCTCCCCCCTTTCTGTATTCGGCTTGACAGAAAAGCAAGGCCCACGTTTTTCCCCCCTCCCCCACTTTTGAATTCAGGAAAGCCCGGGAACTTGTTGCGTTGAGAACCCGTAGGATGTTCATGTATAAATCTACTAATGAATGAGCATACATTGAATAAATTACATGGCCAGAATAATTGGATCTTCCAATCATCAGTATCAATTGATCAACAATAACAATATTATTTTTCATGTTTAGATTAACGGGTTTGCATGGACGAACCAATGCCATATTCTCGATGGACATAAGACCGATTAAATCTTTCCTATCGTATTCAATGTTAATGAATGAAATAATTTGAGATTAATTGATTATAAGATAATTATCAATCATTTAAACTTACCGTTAAATCGCAAAATTTTTGCGTCCCACAACTTTGGTTTCTTTGTTGGTGCGTCCCTCCACAATAACTTAACGGATGCCTCTTCCTGACGTTTTTTGGGAGGAATATCCTTGGTTAATAAAACAGTTACTTCTTTACTGCTTGGCCAATAAACTAAACAATATTTTTCTTTCATTATCACTTTTATAATTCACTTTCACAACTCAATTTTTCAAGAAAACATAAATATTCCGTGACAACTTGAATGCAATGTTTCCCACAATGGCTACTGACCCATTCAAAACTGAAATTGTGAATGAGGCCTGTGAAGCATAGGTGGCGTCCTAGTAGCACAACAGTGTAGACTATACACTACGCCGTAGAATGTACACATAGTATACACTTCAAGGAGTACATATCCACTATACTCGATCGAGTAAGTGAATAGCCTTCGGGAATGATCGGATTGCATTCCCCATTGCAACTATCGAGCTTGGGTTGCAGACGAGCACGGAACGCATGACTTAAGGGGTAACGGAACCCGTCGCACGTAGAGGTTAGGGGTCCCCCCTATCGGTATTGCAGGTTCCCGTGGTTTTTTTGATTTTGTACGTGAAAAGTACAAAAGCCCATAAAATATAAATAAATGGATATAAATGAATAATAATGGTATGGAAACATTCTACTTCATCTTCTGACTCGTAAAAGTACTTCCCTCTTACAATTGGTGCCCTGTAAAGGACATGTTACCTCTTGGATAGCACCTAATTATCATAAATAAGTTTTTACGCAAATCACGCAACAAAAGTACGTTTTTGTACTCAAAATCTCTGTCTTGGACTTCACTCGACTTCTCTCTTCTCATGAAAATAGCCATCGGCTAAGAAAAATCTACAACAAATCGGTTTTTCTACCATGACTTGGCAGATTCCTACAAATAAAATGGCGTCGGCCTTGCCCTGGTCCTTACCATTAAATAATTTGCAATTTTTTTTCTGCATAAATGNGGAGGATGATGTGGATCCTCGATACGACCAGCCGATCTATGACGGAGCACCGATTACCTTTCAAGAGAGCATGTTACTACTCTTGAGTTTAGTTCTATCCCATAATATCACCGATTCATGTTTAGCAGACATGATAGCCATCCTCAATTTCCATTGCCTGAAACAAGGTCTGCAAAAGATGAGTCTCTGTTTTTTCAAAAAATTCTTCGGTTTTGCTGGTAATTCGTGGAAAAAAAGTTTTTATTGCAAAGAGTGTTTTTCGAATTTGAAGAATTCGTCAGATAGATGCAAACAATGTGGAAAAGACGCAGGTATCGGATATTTTGTACAACTTTCTATTACCGAAAAATTAAAAATGATCGTGAAAAGGGATGGATATTTTCAATTACTGCAGCATTCACGCGTCCGCACACGACCAGTTAATTGGGTACAAGACATTTATGATGGGGAATTATATCGCACTAATGGCGAGTTTTTGGCTTCTTCCTCAAACATATCATTGACCTGGTGCACTGATGGTGTACCCGTATTTAAAAGAGCACAGACTAGCATATGGCCTTTTTATTTACGAATTAACGAATTACCCTATGATCAACGTGTACTTCGAGAAAATACTATTCTCGCTGGTCTATGGTTTGGGTCACAGAAACCTGCTGCGAATTTGTTTGTGGAGTCATTTCACGATGAATTAGAAGAATTGTACCGCGGTATTAACGTTAACATTCCAAGAGAAAATATGAAAATTTCCTTACGTGCAGTAGTGTTATGTGGCACTTGTGATTTACCAGCAAAGAGTTTATTCTTAAATATTAGTCAGTTTAATGCAAAATATGGCTGTCCGATCTGTGAATGCCAAGCCAAACCTACAAAACTACCGTCAGGAAAATCTTTATTAGTTTTTCGATATGTTAAAGACTGGATTATGCGAACACTAAAGCAAACAAGAATTCATGCAAATATGGTACTCAGTAGGAAAAATAAGAATAATTTAATTGCTGATACGAAAACAGTAAAGGGAATAAAAGGATTGAGTTCTCTCGATTCAGTCATGCCTGACTATATTGGCGGTACAGGAATAGATTCCATGCATGCAGTTTACGAAGGCATTGTAAAAAAATTGTTAAAATTATGGTTCAACTCTGCTCACAGTTCTTGTCCATTCTCACTTCGCTGNAATTTTATAGTATGCAATGGAATCTGAATTTGTACGTCCATATGACGATGGAAATTATGGATGCATTTTCAATTCATTAAAAATTGAATCCAATGTGATGTTTAATTTTCAAATTGAATTAGAAAATTCAATATGTTATTGAAAAATCAATACTCGCCTAAGATGAACAAATTCAATTTCCCTGAATTTCCAAATTGCATAACATATCTCATGAACTATTTGACCTTAAATTTAATTCAAATTCACAACATTGAGCACTCAAATGCAGATATCACCTAAATTTCCAAAAATTCTAACAGTGTAACTCAATAATTACTCAAATATCTTATACGAAAATGTATAGCTTCAATTCTAGAGNTTGGTCCTCTATGGGTGAATTCCTGTTTCTCTTTTGAAAATATTAATGGACAATTAGTCAAGTTGGTTCATGGTACTACTGATTTAGAATCCCAAATTGCTGATTCTCATTGTCAGTATCTGAAATTGTTTTCGAAATTATCGAAATTACCGCCTGGCCCATTACTCCATTTTGTCATGCATAAAAAAAAACAATTAAAAATCATTGAATCATTCGGAAAATGCTGTAGTATTGGTACTTATATCAAGGGCATTCCTCGAAAATACATGAGTCAATTGGTCGGACAAGGCATTGATGAAAATACGGTTGCTGTAAGACGTTATCATCGATTGTTGAAGGACAAATTATTATATGTAGCAGATTCATACAGGAAAAATTAACGCACAAATTCTTCGTTCATTTCATTCACTGGTGTTAACGGCAAAGCTTTTGGAAAAATTATAGAATTTGTAAAAGTGAGTCATTGTCGGTGTCCAAATAACCAATGTTTATGTGAAGGGCAGCATTTTGCAATCATTCAGTTGATGAATCTGACGGGAAACGTATCAGCAGGTTTAGGATCTGAAATAATAAATGTGCCACATATGTGGAGGTGCGAAATGTCAGAAGAACGAGCCCTGGTAACAGTAGAGAATTTAATCAGCGTTTGTTTCTATGTGGAACATGACAATGTATCTTTCATAAGTGAACGTGTAAATGAGAAGGAAGATGAATAAATTGAGATATTTAACCACACTCAATGTTGTCAAAATGTTCTTCACTTTCTCTATCCTCACCCAGTAAAAATTAATATATAAACTGATTTTTTTTCTTTATAAGTATCAATTATTATGTAGACAAAATGTAAAGACTT